GACATCTTTAATGAGGACATTAGTGCAGGATTCTATAACTGGACCACATATTCAACAATGGACCACATCCTTACTATTCTGCAATTGACTGAAAGACAGAAAATATGAGAGCCCACCATTCTTGTTTGTTGATTGTCAAAATGCATTTGATTTTGAAGAGTAAAACACCATCTTAAAAGTTCTTTTCCAACAATGTGTTTGCCATCCATACATCAAAATCATTCAAAATTTAGTGAGCTATAACAGCAGAAATAATCCTTTTCAATGACCTTCTCTGATCACCAACATCAGGTAAGGCATAAAAAAGGGAGATGTTTGCTCATCAAAGATGTCCACCACTGTGTTGGAGGTGATTCAGTATGAAGTCCAAGTTGAAGTTTTTGTTCATAGTTACTTTGATGAGGTCCACAGATGCTCCTATTAGTAGATGTTATTTCAATTTCATCATGCTATAAAGCAATGCAGAGAATACTGCAAGATATAGTCATAACACTCTTTAAAATAGTTTATGCTGACCATCCATCCAAGAAAGAACAAGAAAGAAGGAAAAGAGAAAACAGGAAAGAAGTGGAAAATGAATTTCTATTGCCCAGACTATGACATACATTTGGATGGATGATTTGTAGATCTTATTCCCTAAATTTGTGTCTCACTACTACTGTCCATAAGTATGTGTAATTGGAGGGCAGCTACATGATGCAGTGGATATGGTGCCAGGCCTTGAGTCAGGAAGATTCATCTTCCTGGGTTCAAATCAGACATTTACTAGCTATGGGACCCTGGGCAATTCACTTTGCCTCAGTGGCATGATCTGTAAAATGAGCTGGAGAAGGAATGGCAAATCACTCCAGTACCTTTGCCAAGAAAACTCTAAATGGGGTCACAAAGAGTCAGACACAACTGAACAACAAAATGTATATCTGGGGCAGACAGTTCCTGTAGACACTGAGTTAGGCCCTGTACAAATGGACAATAAGATGTGAGAAGAATGGTCTGGATTGCCTTCATAAAATTGCAAATCTCCTTTAATGACCTCAAATGTCTCCTGAAAACAATGGTCCATCTTTTTAATACTAATTTGTTATTTGTCTTGCTTTATGGTAGCAAGAAATGGAATACAAAAGACTCCAAATAATAAAAAAATTATATCACACAGAGGGCAATACAGAGGTGAATGGTGGATGTGAGCAGATTGCAATACAAAGGTTTTTAAATAACAGGGCTAAAATATATCATTAAGGAAATGTGTGATAGGAAGAAAGATGGGCTAGTTAATAAGTTTAAAGGATAACAAGATAATCAGTGAATCACTGGTATCCATCTTCAAGATGTCAAGAAAAACAAGGAAGGCCTCCAGTACACTGGGTGGCTCCCTGTAGCAAACTTATGGGAGAATATGAATAAAAGTCCCACAACTTGAGAAAGCATAGATGGATTGTTATCTGCATCATTGGGGGGGGAATACCCAAACTGATGAATCAGAGATCCACTTGGAAGTATTTGAATGCTATAATCAAGAGTATATTGGCAATGCTTTGTAGAATATGTTAAAGAAAGAAGATATAAAGGACAGGAAGACTAATTAGTAAGACATTGAAAAAGTCCAAATGAGAGGTAGCAAGGTTCTGAACTAAAGTAATGGTAGTGAGAATAGAAAGGAAGGAATAGATGCAACAGGTACTACCCAGGTGGAATCTATGGGATTAGGTGATTGATTCATATGAGGAACAAAGGAGTCAAAGTTTTGATCATGGTATGATTGGAAAAATGGTGAACCATTAACAAAAGTTGGGAAATTGAGAAAAAGTTAGTTTTTTATGGAAGATAATGCGTTCAGTTTTGTACATGTTAAGTTTGAGAAACTAGAAGAACATCCATATGGGGATATCCAGTATATGAACGGGAAATACATGACTAGAGTTTAGGAGAAAGGTCAAAACCAGATATTTAACTTTGGGGATCATCTGCATAGAAGTGATAGTTGAAAGCTTACATGTGGATGAAGTTGACAAGTGAAAGAATGTAAAAGACAAGAGGGTCAGTGACAAAACCCAGACCTCAAACAAAACAAAACCTCAGCATTTCCAGATTCTCAAGTTCATCAAGATTTTAGATTTGAAAAGTTCTTATAAAATGTCCAGTTTAATCACTTCATTAACAAGTGAGGAAACTAAGACAATCTTCCATCAAATACTTCCAAGTGGATCTCTGATTCATCAGTTTGGATGTGTAGCTACTTAGTGGCAGACCTATGACTAGGATCCAGATCACTGCAGTGTCATTCCATTGTTCTTTCTAGTATACCCTAGTTATTCTGAGCAGTACTTCTCATTATACGTGTTATCTAACTTTTCTCTAAGCTTTATTTTCCATTTCTCTGATAGAAGGAGATGTCCTCTCTGCTCTAGGCTTCCTCACCCAATATGCCATAGTAAGCCTCAAGTATAAAACTTACTACACTATAAGCTCATTGAAGATAAGTGATATTTCATATTTATATTTGTAAAAGTGTCCCATATAGTGGATTCATAACAAATGTTTGATCAGCCAAAATATACATAATAATGCTTTTTGTAGGAGCAAAGAATTGTAAACAAAGTATATGTTCATCAATTGGGGGATGGCTAAACAAATTGTGGCCCATATAATGGAAAATTACTTCATCATAAGAAATGCTGAATATGAAGAATACAGAACACATGGAAAGCCATGAACTGATACAAAGTGAAGTAAACAAAACAGGGAAAACAAAATACAGAATGAATGCTGCCTACATAAGGGAGGGAGTTGGTCCATCTGACCAGCTCACCCAAAATTATACTCACCCAAAAAAGTAATCAGACAGGAAGCTAAAGGGCAAATAATTAGGTGTTAATGTGTTAACAAAATGCTAACACTCTGCTACTCCTTTTCAAAATGTGTGAAATTTTCCCTGATGTACATAGAGAGGAAGCTTACCAATGGCTGCTACATTAGCCATGCCCTTGATCACCTTTAAAATGCTAGCTTACTAAGCTCTGCAGTCACTTGAGACAGGAAACAGTTCAAGGTGTGGGACCTTTGCCAGCAAAAGAAATAAGACTCAAAAGAAAATTAGTACTGGCAAAGCACATGAGCTATGGAGAGGAGTAGACCCTGGGAGTCCAGCTGAGCAACAGGAAGAAATGTTCTGCCAGAGAGGGAGCAGTATGAAGACTATATAGAGAGTAAATACTGAAAGCATGAAGTGGCCTTGACCACGCTACTGTTTGTCCCTATTCTTTCCATATATGCTGTATGTATTTGTAGGTATCCATACCCTAGTTTAATAGGGGAGATATTTTAGGGGCAGCTAGGTGGTGCACTAGCTAGAGCCTTAGCGCTGGAGTCAGGAGGACCTGAGTTCAAATGTAGCCTCAGACACTTGACACTTTACTACCTGTGTGACCCTGGGCAAGTCACTTAACCCTGATTGCCTCCTTAAAAAAAAAAAATAGAATGTTTTGTAGCTACTGTTATCACTACTCGATCTTAGTAAAAGCAAATTTTTTTTTAGGTAATTTTATCTACTGACTGAGTTAAGGAAAAGCTCATCGGTTAGAGCTCCTAAACTATAGTTTCAGCAGTGCAGACCCAGAGTACCCTGCAAACTGATAGTAATGGTGGCCTTCTGGGGAGGTAACACAGAGTAGATGCTACAAATATAAATGGAAAGAACAACAACAACAAACACAAAAGATTTAAATTGAACAGTGTGTAATTATAATGACCGAGCTTGGCAAGAAATGAGAAAAGGTATTTCATCTTAGCAGAGCAACAGGATTATGTCTGTAGAATACAGCATATATTGTTGGACTTAGTTGATGTGACAATTGGTTTTGCTGAAGTCTGTTTTTTGTCTTTTTTAATATTTGTTTAAAGGGTTGCTTCTCTGAGTAGGGGAGGGATATGTTGAGAGAAGAAGGTGATATAAATAAAAGTATATCAGTGAAAAGTAAAACAAAACCAAAAATAAATGATGAAAGAATGAAAAAAATGCAATAAAAACATGTCATTTTAGAACTGGAAGAGTACTCAGAAAGAAGAGATGAGAAAATTCACCTCCTTTTTTGCAGAGGTAGGGAACTATGGTTGTAGGTATGTTGCACATTATACTATCAAATGTAGATGTGTTGGTTACTTTTGCTGAACTTTTTTTCCTTTTTTCTCCTTTGTTACTTGAACTCAATGGGTGGGGGAAGAATATATTCAGAGAAAGGAAGGTAATATAAAAGCAAATGATAGCAAAATTAAAAAGAAATCTTCTACCTCAAACCTTTCATCTTGCCAAATAGTTATACCAAATACCAAATAGTTATCATTACTGTTGTCATCATCTGCATAAGAAAACTATTTTAAAAATTTTTTTAAATTTATAATGTTCCAAACTGATGGTCTCCAAAAAAAATCTGAACCAATCTTCCCCCAGTCGTTCTTCAGCAGTTCTCTCTGGGATGTGGAATAGGAGACGGAGGTACGTGGAGAGTAGGAATAATCTCACTAGTTAATTCTATCTTCCTACAAACTCCCATATTTCTTGGTTGCTAGGACAGAAGGCAACCCTGAAACTCAACCTTCCTGCCACTAGCTCCACCTCCTACACTGCTGATCTGGATTGGTTACCCTAATCCAGCCCCTTCCTCAGTCTTCCAGCTCATTGGGCCATCCCACTGCTTTTCAACATGAGTTCTTTGGAGAGACTTACCAGAGAAGAGATAGGAGGCATAGCTGGGAAGGTACTTACAGGTAGGGGGAGGCAGAGAAGTAGGGGGCATAGGCTGGCACAAAGCCAACCTTATACAAAGAATCACTTTCTCCATAAGAGGACTCAGAGGAATCACTTTTTTACATAGAGGATGAGAGCGAAACAGCCTGATCACCTATTATTATTCTACCAAAGAAAGTCATCTTGAAATGAGAGTAGAGAGGGCATTTCCTTAGTACCCAAAGCTTGAACACAATGTGCCCATTTCCTCCCATAGGACACCAAGATGCCACCAAAAATCAAAGGAAAGGTATCAAAAGCTGGGGGACAGAAAAAGAAAAACAAGAGTCAAGATGAGTCAAGTGGGTAGAGGCTGGTGGGAACAATGCCAGTATCTTTGAAGGCGATTCTACTCTACACATGAGAAGTTGGGGCTTCCTTGGCTTTATCTACCTAGCATCCCTTAGAGTCCTGATCCCCTTCCCCCTGGTGGAATTCAGCCTGAGCCTATTCGTCCTCCTAGCCTTGGTTCCTTCATTTATATCAAGGGAACCCAGAGAGTCGGGATCCCCAAAGGGATGGGGAAGGATGAACTTGTGTCAGTTTCCCCAAGTGGAGACCCATCCACATCTCTTCCTATTCCCAGCGATCAAAATTCTGCATGAAAACAAAATACAGGCTCTCCTGGAGTCACCGGGGATCCAGAATCTCATCTGGGTCAGTCTAGCCTATTTGTGACCACTTAATTTTTGTAACTGTCACTATCTCCTACTCCCGTACCACCAGCTCCAGAAAGACTCGCATGTGCCTACAACAGGCACTTTTAGTTTTAATCCCAAGCAGATCCCCAAACTTGGGGGTTGGAGGCAGGGGAGAATGAGAAAGGAGAAGTTATAACAGTTTAGGCCCTTTACCTGGTTTCCATGAAACCGTCCCCCACTTCCTGTTTTGTAGTATAGGAGGAGTCACGGACTAGGAGTCTGAAGACCTGGGCTTTTGTTTGAATTGGTCTGTAACCTTAGGCAAATTCACTTCACGTCCATTTTTTTGTCTTGAAATTAGGGAGTTGGACCAGATAATAAGGTCCCTTCTAGCTCTAAATCTATGATCCTATGATTCCTTCTTGCCAAGGACAGATGCTGAAGCTGAGATCAAGCATAGGAGAACAGCCCTGGAGCTGGAGATCCTCCGTGACCATCTGGGTAAGGGGACACTAGAGGAAGTACCCCTCGGAGGTTATTATATTCCCCTTTACTCCTTGGAGAGCGGAGGTGGTACCTATTCCAAATTCCCCAACCAGATCCTAGCTAAATAGATAGCTCAGGGAGATTGTTTATGTAGGAGGTATAGGTAATGAAGGTTAGAATTAGAATTATAATCCTTACAGAGATATGAGGATGCCATTTTCCACGGGCCAGAGTAAAGAAGAAATTTGTTCCAAAAGAGTGACTGGTGGACTCCAGGGCTGGGGGAAATGGAGAGACCCCTAAAACATTGGGCAAATAGGAGCTTGGAGCCTCCAGGAGTGGGAAGGAGAGGAGTCTAACAGTGGTGTGTGTGAGTGTGTGTGTGTGTATGTGTGTGTGTATGTGTGTTGGCAAGAGGATGACAAGATATCCTGGGAGAATGGGCTATTCCATGTGGGCTAAGGACTTCACTGGTGCCACCCCCAGCTCTCCGGCGGGATGAGACTCGCCAGGCCATAGCCTGCAGAGGACAACTCCGAGAGAGGCTGCAAGAGTTGGAGGCTGAGGTGGAGGGGGCTCGGGGTGATGGAGAGGCTGTGTATGCAGGTGAGAGGAGGGGCCTCAGACTGTAGGACAACTTATTGCCGGTTCTGTCTTTGGGCTTTCTCCACTCAGCATAAATTAGATGAGGCTCTTGTGGGATCTTAGAAAGGGGTGTCCCAAGGTTCGTGACCCCTCCCTCCCACAATGATTGTAGACCTGGAATGGGACAGGGGATCTGGTTGCCTTTCTCTTCTCTATTTGTTACAAACTTCTACCTTTTTGATGTCTTTACAAGCAGGATTTTCTATATGTATTATCACTAAACCATGGGAAGGGGTTTTCCAAGGCAAATTCCTATACTATCATCCCCCATATGGAGTATCATGTTCATTTCTGGATACCACATATTAAGAAGGATGTAAGTTGGAAAGTATCCAGAGGAGGACAACCAGGATGCAGAAGGACCTCAAGTTCATGACATAAAGATTAGATGAAGGAACTGGGAATTTTTAGCCTGAAGAAAACTTGTAGGGGAAATGTAGCTGTCTTCTAATATTTGAAGAATCATCCCATGAAAAAGGGATTAAATTTGTTCTTCTTGGCTACAGAGGACAGAATTAAAAACAATGGGTAGAAGCTTGAGAATAGCAAATTTAAGTGTGATAAGGAAAAAACTTCCTAAAATTTAAATCTATCTAAAAGTAGAATGGGCTGCTTTAGAAAGCAGTGTGTTCTCTCTCATGAGAAATCTTCAAGCAAAAGCTAAGTATGTTGTAGGAAGGGTTCTTGTTCTGGTAGAGACTAGACTAGATAGTGATGTGTCTTCCAATTCTAATTCTATGATCTTCCTTACTGGGAGTGCCTCCCACTCCTCCTCCCATCCCATACACCAAGAGATGAGTCGTCAGTACCAAGCCCTGAGGAAAGAGGCTGAGACACAGAGGCATCAGCTGGAAGAGGAAGTGAAGGTCCTTCGGAAAGAGCTAGGTATCAATCTCCGTCTCCTAAGTGGGTAACTGATCAGTCTGCAATCTGAGAATGGGGTATAGCAGGGCTGGAACTGGACCAATGAGCTGAGGTTGCCAGGAATGAAGGGATGAGACTGCACTCTTTTAGGTGAGACATCCCATGGAATTCTGGCTCTTGGAAAAGTGCAAATGGCAAATGGACAGGTTTTCCCCCAGACCACTGAGCCACCCATCCAGCAGGCTTCACATTCCTCATTAATCCTCTTCCTGGCTCCCTAGAGGCATGCCAGAGAGAGGCAAAGACTGCTAAGGGAGAGGCTGAACAGGCATTAGCAGAGCGAGACAAGACCCTTGCCCAGCTCCAGGCCTATGTGACAGAAATGGAGGCTAAGTATGAAGAAATTCTACATGTAAGTACCATCCAGCTGGCATCGTTCTTGGGCCTTTCCCTCCTAGATCTTGGCACCCTTTCCCTGGGCTCATGAATCAGCTTCTAACTAGCTCTTCATATGTCACTGGGTTAGACAAAACCTGACTAGGAGATGCAAGGAAGAGACGTTTGCACAGGAACCTGGAGTCCTCTATCTCTCACGGTAGCATATGTCAGGCAGCACGGCTAATTTAGGCCCCTGACACTAAGGCCTTTAAGAAAACAGTGGGAGGGGGCAGCTAGGTGGCACAGTAGATAGAGCACCGGCCCTGAAGTCAGGAGGACCTCAGACCAAACACTTGACACTTACTAGCTGTGTGACCCTGGGCAAGTCACTTAACCCCAATTGCCTTAAAAAAAAATTTTTTTTTTAAAAAAAGAAAGAAAACAGTGGGAGGTAAGGTGCAGTTCCAAAGCCATTGTGGGGCATCATTCACTTATTCTCTTCTGTGGGGCTGAGACCAAGTAGAAGATGATCCTCCTTTACAGCACAGCCTGGATCGACTCTTGGCCAAACTGACCACAGCCAAGCTTGAGTGGGACACAGCTGCTCTGAGGCTCCATGACAAGCACAAAGAACAGCTTCAGCAATTTGGGCTCAACCCCTTGGACCTCTGAAGCTGGGGACCTTCCTATAAAGAAGACTTTAGGGCCTTCTGGGCTCCCAACAATAAAGGTTTTGTGCTATGGCACTAAGCAACAGGGGGCTTTTCTCCTCCCAAGCCCCAAGCCCCTTCTCTAGGTGAAGCTGGCATGAGAGCAAGCTCCACTAGTGGGAGAAAGCATACTGGGCTGGAGGCAGAAACATTCAACTAACGCTTTCTCTGTTGAGTTGTGGGGAAAGAAATGTGGGCAAACCCAATCCATCTGTAGAAATAATGCCCCCAAGCCCCTCCTCCCGCCAAGACTCAAGGAATCTTGGTCTTTGTGTCAGAGGCAGCTCAGTGGTACAGTGAATAGAGTGCTGGGCCCAGAGTCAGGAAGACCTGAGCTCAAATCCGACCTCAGACATTTACTATCTGTGTGACCCTGGGCAAGTCACTTAACCTCTGTTTGCCTCAATTTCCTCAATTACAATATGGAGATAACAGCACCTACCTCCAAGGGTTGTTGTAAAGGTCAAGTGAAATAATATATGTAAAGTGCTTAGCACAGTGCCTGGCATACAGTAAGCACAGTATAAATGCTTATTCCCTTCTTCTTCCTTCCTCCATTCCAACACAAACACAGGCAACGAGACTTGTGGGAAAGGCTAATTTCAATAGGTTCTAAGTATACATCCACTAGATTCTTGTTGCCCTGGAATCCCAGTATCCCTTGCTTTCCCCATAGGTCACAAGGAAAGGAAGGAAACAAGCATTTATTAAGCAGCTTACAAATAGCTCACTTGATCCTCACAACAACCCTGGAAGATAGGTATTATTACCTCCATTTTACAGTTGAGGAAACTGAGGCAAACAGAGGCTAAGTGACCTGCCCAGGGTCATACAGATAATGTCTGAGGCCAGATTTAAACTCAGGCCTTCCTGGCCCCAGGTCCAGAGCCCTATGAATTGACCTCATGAAAAGGGAGATATCACAGAGGGATTATGATACTGGTCTCCAACTTTAATTGAATGTTCAACATCATCACACATCAGTGGCGCGCACTGGCTCCACCCCTCAGATACAATACAGGAGATCTTAGTCTCTGCAGGTCCTACTCTCCCACAAACAAACTTTATCTTAGGGTGTCGCCTGGCCCTCCTACCAAACTCTTGCACATTTCTCCTGGCTGGGAATATGGATGGGAAGCTGTTGACAGAGCAAACCTAGAACATTGGGTAAAGCTACTTCCCCCACCCTTTCCCAGGGAGTGAAGCCCTGGGAAAGGAAGGAGATTTATCCCAGGAGGCCTATGAAGTCCTGCAAGGACATCTCATCTCTCTAGCCCTTGGGCCCAGGAATTTCCACCCACTCCTTAGATAAGGAGGTGTAGTAGACAAAGTAAAAACAGGCGGATCCACACCAGATAAGATATTCTATAGCCTCTCAGAAGGAAGACTCCAGTCCTAGATTTAGAAATAAGAGAAGATAATGATTGAGAACCTAGAATCCAATAGCCATTAGTTTTCCTCCCCCACCCCACCCCACCTCTCAGGGCAGGAATCCCCATGAATAGAGTATAATCTATTCTGCAATTCAGTTCCCCAACCTTGGTGCCCTCTATCCTGTCCATCTGTTTAATACTGGGAGGTCTATACTGTAGTTCCTTCTCTCTCTGCCCTCCCCAGCTTCACTTCCTTTCTCCCCACACTTTTGAATTCTCACCTTTCCTGGTTCTAAAGAGCTGCAGGTCTCAATGCCTCGTCTTCCCTGGGCTGCCAGCCTCAGGTGAAGGGGTGGCTTAGCATCACTCAGCTGCTGCATGACTTCAAGAACATTCTCCCTGCTCACAGATTGTCCATTCAACTCCAGAATCACATCCCCCATACAAAGTCCTGCTTGGAAAGCTGAGCCCCCTGGGGTCACCTGGGAACAAAGGCCAATCAGCAGAGTCAGATATGGTGCAAAGGTGGAAGGGCACAGGGAGAACAGGCATCCCTAAGGGACTATGGAATTGTGGAGATAGGGAACACAAGATAACTCGGAAGATGAGATATGAACTGGGCTCTCCATGGTTCTTGAAAAACTGGGGAGGAGGCTACTTTAGATATAGAAACTATAATCAAGGGATCAAAGGTACGTTACCTGGGAAATGATGATATCAGCCTTGTCAGCCCTACAACTGAGTCGGAAACCATAACCACCATTAGGCCCTGGGCTCAGAAGGCATTGACGGAAGCTAGGTAGGGCAGGACGATCAAGGGAGGTAGAAACTTCAAGCGGTGAAGCCAGATCTGTTGCCGAGGATGCTTGATCCTCCTCCTCAGTTACTAAAGGAAGCTTCTGGGAAGAAGCCAGATCATCTGCTTGGGGACTAGCATCTTCCAAGAAGAGGAGAGGAGATAAGCGGACCTAAATGGATAGAACAAACCTCTTGTTCCACTGTCTTGATACCTTCTAGCTTCCCCCCATGCCCCAGGTGCTAGGTCATACCATGCTGTAGAAGCTGTCAGCATCTGGGTCCACAACGATCAGGGAGAGATGACATCCCTGGGCCCTGATCCTCGTCACAGCCTCCTCATGGTCCAGTCCCTCCACACTGTCCCCAGCCACAGCAACCAGTCTATCCCCAGCCCGCATCCCAGCTTGGTCTGCTGGCAGCCCTGGGTCCACCTCCCATAGGAACTGCCCTGGGATACAGAAATATTCATTGCTCCTTCCCTCAGCCCAGGGTTACACAGCCCAGGATAGGTAGACATTGACCTGTTGCTTGAATGGATATTCTCCTGAGTTGTATGGGGAGGGCATATACGCCATTTATGCCAACACAAGAACATATGACCTTAGGCTCAAAAGGGGACATGTTAACAACTGGGTATAGGAATGGAAGGAAACATAGCTCCCTCCACATGCCTGGAGAGGATAGGTAGATATTGGCTTATGTGCATGTCCACACCTACTTTTCCCACCCACCCACCACTCTTATTCCATACTGTCCATGGTTCCCCACTTACCAAGCTGGCCATTGGGGCCTTTCTCCTCTCGAAGCAAAAATCCAAAGCCCTTGGGTCCTTTTTCTATATGCAGCTGGCGTGGCCGGGCAGGCAGTGCCCAGCCCTCAGCCAAGGGGGCAGCCAGGGGTAAGCCCAGCTGACGACACTGTTCTTCCACTTCTGGCCCTGCCACCAGGAGGGCTACCTGGTCCCCACTCTGCCGAAGCTGTGGGGGTCCCCAGACCAGACATAAATACCCAACGACCAGAGACTAGCTCAAAGCAGATGCTTCCCCAGAATCCTCTCCTCCCAAACACAGGAAAAGAGGCATTGAGGGTAGTTGGGTCACCACGCACCATCATGGAAGGATAGGAATAGAGGGGACCTGGTGTGAACCTTCAAAGGAGAGGTCAAGGTTCAGCATAGGATCATAGATGTAGAGTTAAAAGGCAACTCAGAGACCATCTAGTCCAAACCCTTCACCTGACAGATGAGAAAACAGAGGCCCAGGGAAATTGTGACTTCCAAAATTACACAGGTAGTATGTACATCAGAAGTGGGATCTGAACCCAGGTCCCCTGACTTCAGAACCAGTGTGCTTCTGATTATAACATCAGAAGCACATCCTCCAATGGTGAGGTGAGATTAGTTTAGCATGAGAACAGATGAGAGGAGACACCTTTCTTAGGCAGAGAAGATCCTTCACCCTTCTTCCCACTTTCCCCACCTATGGATGTGGTGCTGACTGAAGGGAGAAGACAGGACTTCTGGATGTCCAGATGGGGAGCAGAAAAGGCAGAGGAAGAGGCTCTGTACCTTTCTGCTGAGCTGACTATGTGAGAAATTCTCCACACTGATCCCATTGACTTCCAGCAACCGAGCCCCCGGGGGGATCCCGGCCCGTTCTGCTGCTCCTCCACAGCTCAAAGTCAACCAGAAAAAGCCCCTTTTTCCTGGGAACAGACAACAGGGTTCAGGCTGCTGCCTGCCCAGGACATTTTGAGAGAGCCTTCTCCCTGACTGCCTGCCTCCCCCCATTCAGATCTTCAGAACCAGCTCACACCGTGGGTGATACTAAAGCCAAAGCCACCCTCATCTTTCGCCACATGGCACAGCCGAGGTCGGACACCAGAATCCAGGACAGGACAGAGACGGGCACCATCAGTCCGATGAGCACGAGCAACCTCCTCCATGTTCCCTGCCAACACTATCAGCAGCACCCGGGGACCGCTAGCCCGGATTCGCCGGATCACCTGGGCAGGGAGGGAACCGTGGGAGCTCCTGAAGGAAAACCCCTCCAGATGTCCATGTCTGGGCATATTCCTATTTAAACAGCCTCTCTTTTTCCTGAGAGTACCACTTGTCTCTAGATCTTCCCCCAAACTCCTCTCTTTCCCTGGTCATTTCCTGTGCTAGAAAGAGAGAACTCAGTGGTGCTTATTTAACAATACCTACTACTCCAGTGAGTGACCAACCTGCCCTCTGTAATCCATGGGTTTTTTTTTTCTCTCCTTGGCACTAACCCTGTTCTAAACAACCTTACCCCATAGTAGTCCTCATGCTCCACAATGTCCCCATTGACCCCCAGGATCCGGTCTCCATCCTGAAGTCCTTGGCGCTGAGCAGAAGTGCCTGGTTCCACTTTTCGGACTATGTGCCCAGTCTGGCCCAGCTCCTCATGCAGGCAGAAGCCAAATGTCCCCCCCACCTCCTTGCTCAACAGACAGAAACGGGGGCGCTGAAGGCCCCAGGAATCTGTCAGAGAAGGAGAGGCCAGACTTAAAGTGTGAGGAAGGGCAGTTTATCACTATGGGTACTGTCCATCTCCCAGGGGGACACTACTTTCCCCTCTAGAGCACAGGTCAAAAATACCACCACAGGAGAAGCAACTGGGAAACAGTGGAGAATAAGGTGCTTCACACATGTATTGGGAGAGTGCCTATCACATATAGGGTAGGGTTTAGGGGACTCTAATGGCATGGGGATGAGGAAAAACTGACAAGGCCTCCATAACTGACTGGATGTTCTCAGGGGTGATGGAAGACAGTGATTGCTATGGAGATGGAAGTGTTTGGGGGAAAGTTGGGGTACTTTTAATTTGAAGAGAATAGAAGAGAATAGTGTTTTCAGAGAAAATTACCAAGGTGGTCATGGTCATCAGCTAATGAGAGTGCAGGATTATCAATCCCCAGCTTTGGGTTAAATTTAAACTTCCTGTAAAGTGGTAGGTGGAAAGGATAATACCATCCTGGGCATCATGCCCAAGTCAGGTTTCACTAGAACCCCGCCCCAAGCTAAAACCATCCCTTTTCTCCCCTTCCCAGCCCCACCCCCACCCCCACTAAACAAAGCAGAAACAATATTCCCTGTCTTCTCTTCCTTTCTTCCATCCCCCTCAACATAGAGGAGTAGGGAGGACATTTCCCCTCTCGTCTTTACGGAACTCACAGATTTAATGTGGCTGTGTCCTGGAGATCTGGAGGGGAAAGAGTAGGGTGAGGGCAAGGTACACACATGTCCTCACCAATTCTGGATTATATCACCAGAATGATCTTTCCTCATTGTATGAACCCCATTGCCATACTGGTTACACCTTTGCCCCCTAGCTCCTTCTCTAACCCCGGGATCCCTGACGCAGATCTACAAGTAGAGATACACATAGAATGTGAATGGAGCAAATATTTATCCTGTCATAATTACTTCCTCCCCAATACCCACACCTTGACCACTAACTCCAAGGTATCAGGCTCCCCACCTTGAGCATCCCCCACCAAGGTCCCCTCCTTAGGGGGCACTTCATCATGCTCTCTACCTGTTGCTGCTTCCATGTCAGGGCCAGGCATTCAGGGTAGGGACAAGGTCCACCTCAAGCAGCTGACCCTCCTTTTCCTTCCCCAAGCCCCGCCTCCTTCAAGACACTGCAGCCTGAGGTAATGGTTAACGGAGGAGAACCTTGCCTCTAGGGAAGTGAAGAACTTTCTCCTATCTCCCTTCTTAGGCCCCAACTTTCCTAGAAGATGCCCATCTGCCAATGTTCAGCCAGCTTCAAGAGTCTCCCTATGGTTCATTCTGTGTATTTCAAACCAAGAAGTACAGATAAAGTTGAGATAAACAACACCAACCTGCAGCAAACCATAGGCTATCGTTTCTCCAGATTGTTCCCCTTATACCCCAAAGCCTGTTGGCAGCCATACCTGAATGACTTCTGGGTCATGAAACCACTCACAACTAAAATAGACAGGAAGGGAGAGAGACGAGCTAGCTCAACCCTCCCACCAACAGGGCCAGGCCCTCTGCTTTGAGCCGATTGTTGGAGACAGTAGGAGAAGGAGAGAGAAATATGGGAAACTGATGCTATCCCCTGCCCCAGAACTCTGGAGAAGGGGGCCCATGCAGTCAGTAGCAGAGCTTAGTTGGTTATTTACTAAGAACTGTCCCCAGGGTAATCTCTGGGAGGATGTTGGGTTCAGCTAGCAATACAGTTTTTTTATTTTTTATTTTTATTTTTGCCAAGAAAGAAGAGACCACAGCATCAGATAGAAGACATATGTTTTTGTTTTTAATGGCGGCAAATCAGGGCACTTGCTTCTGGGAGCCACCAAGCTTTGCACATCGTTGTGAGTCTGGGTAAAGCAAATAAGGAGAAGGCATCAATGGAAGAAGAAGGTATCTGCTGACGCCCTTTGCATCCATAAAGAGGATTTGATCTGGCATAGGAAGGAGGAGGGGACAGTGTGGGCAGGTAGATGGTCAGTGTCTTCACAACTAATGTAAGTGATCCCTCCAGGAACAAGGGGCAAGCTTGGGCCACATCAAGTAGGGGTGGCTGAGATGATGGGGCCTTCATACCCTAATTCTCAGGGAGAGTGGAAGGGAGTGACCTGGCCCCTTAAAATGCTAAGGAAGAGCCCACCTTCCTCCATTGCTGATACACCTCCCCCAACAAAATGAGAGCAAACAAGTCCCACCAATACAGCTACGATTTCATGGCTGTGACCTGGACTCACCAGAGTTTAGGGAGCACATGTCAAGGCAGTGTTGTAACCATTCCCAAGTTCTAAAGAATCCCTCTCAAATCAGAGGAGGATCTCCCCACCACTATAAGTAGAGGCTGACAGAGGATAAGGGGGTGGGTGCTGATGACTAGGACAACTCTGTGCCTAATGCCTGCCTCAGCTCCCTGGGCCCCCTAAATGCTCCAGCAGAGATCTGACTTCCCCCTCCACCCGCAGCAGCTGGGCTTTGCGCCAAGGGTTAAGGGTGGCACCCCGGCTGTCTTCCAGGTCTCGCAGTAGCATTGATAGGTGGCACTGGACGCGGCCTCGCTCCCAGCTGTTCAAGTTGCGCTGGATTTCACCCAGGATCACAGACCAGTGCTCCGACAGAGCTGTGCCTTCAGTCAACGATGCCACTACTCGGGCCCTTCCAGGGGTAGCACCTTCTAGCTCCCGTAGTTTCTTCCGGCCCTCTGGGCTCAGCTCGTTGAAGTAGAGGCTAGTGAGGAAAGGGGGCACAGAAGGGGTGATCCATCAAGAGGCACAGTGGGAAAGGCAACGTAGATAATAAGGGAGAAAGGACAGCAAGGCAATGAGAGGCAATGGAGAAGGGAGAAGTGACTCTTTCATTGGAAGTTAGAGATGAGAGCATGGTGGCCAGTAGTGGCTTAAGGGCAGGAAGTGACCAACCACAGGGCACAATGGAGACAAGAGCCAGTGTGGGAACCGGGCAGCTCAACCCTAAGAGAAGCAATAATGGACGAAGGAAAGGTTGGGACCAGTTACAAAGGGGTCAAGGTTGAGTAGGGACCAGTAGAGTTTAAATTACAGGCTTTAATCAAAAGATGTGAAGAGGGGCAGCTAGGTGGCGCAGTGGACGGAGCCCTGGCCCTGGAGTCAGGAGGACCTGAGTTCAAATCAGACCTCAGACACATAACACTTAACTAGCTGTGTGACTCAGGGCAAGTCACTTAACCCCAATTACCTCACCAAAAAAAAAAAAATGTGAAGACTGAGGGGGAACCTCTACACATGTAGGTCTCAAGGGTAGCTGATCTAACAAGGAAAGGGGGACGAGTATCTGACCTTGAAAAGATGGAAGCTGGGCCCAAGACTCGGGGAAGAAGGGAATGAATGATCACTCACTGTAACAGCTCCAGAGAAGGGTGTTCCCTGGCAGCCCTGGCCAGGCCAAGAGCTGCTGCGTCACCGGCTCCATTATAGGCCACATTCAACTCCCGAAGCTGCTGGTTTCGTTCCAGGTGGGTAGCCAGCAGCTCCAGGCCTTCATCCTCAAGCCCAGTGTGCAGCAGAGACAGGTGGGTCAAAGAAGTGTTCCCACTCAGCCCTTCTACCAAGAGGGCCAGGCCTGCTGCCGTGAGTGGGTTGTTGGAGAGGCTGCAGTAGGAGAAGGAAGGAGAGATGTGAGAAACTGATGTCCCCTCCTGCCTCAGAATTCCAAGGAAGGGAGGTCACACAGTCCGCAACATTTACTGAGAACCAACACCAGGGCCATCCCTAGAAGTGTGTTGGGTTCAGAGCTAGCAGTACAACTGCTCTCCCCTTCCCATAACATGGTCATTCGGGTGAAATCTGTTTAGCAACACAGGATTTAGAGCTGGAAGAGGCCTGAGGGATCATCTAGTCAAGAGGTTAATATTTTTTCGTAATGGACCCTTGCGGTAGTCTGGTGAAGCGTACGCACCCCTTCTCAAAGTGATGGTTTTACAGCAACATTGTGCAATGATCAACTATCAACTGAGAGACTTAGCTCTTCTCAGCAATGCGAGGATCCAAGACAATTCCAGAAGACTCATGACGGAAAATGCTGTCCACATCCAGAGAAAGAATTAGAGTCTGAATGCAGATCGAAGCATACCATTTTCTCTCTTTTTTTTTCTTTCTCGTGATTTTTCCCTTTTGTTCTGATTCTTCTTTCACAACACGACTAATAGGGAAATAGCTGTAATAGGATTGTACAAGTATAACCCATATCAGATTGCTTGCAGTCTTGGGGAAGGGGGTGGGGAGGGAGAAAAATTTGGAAATCAAAATCTTATAAAAGTGAATATTGAAAATTATCTTTACATGTAATTGGAAAAAACATAAAATGCTATTAAGTGGGAAAAATTAAATACAAAATGATGGTTTTAAATGCATAAAACAAAATATATAAGATCACAAAGAAAACCACTTATATTGAAGTAGCTATAAATTTATTTTTTAAAACCAAGTTCACAGATCATAAGGTAAGAATCCTTGATTTAATTCAACCATCTAATTTTACAGATGAGGAAACTGAGGCTCAGGGGAGAAGAAACAGCTTGCTCATGATCACATAGACACTACACAGCACAACCAGAATTTGAACCAGGTCCTTTGATTCCAGATCCAGTGATCTTTCCACTACCCCAGTGGTGTCAAACTCAAATAGAAACCAGAGCCACTAATCCATACATAAGGATCTTTGCAGGTTGCATATTGATTTAGCCATAAAATGTCATGTTATCTATGTTTTATTGTACTTTTATTTATTTTGTTAAATATTTCTCAATTACATTTTAATCTGGTTCAGGTGGCTCTCATTTTTTTCCTCCGATTTCCAGAGTCCTTTGGCTCTGCTGCCTGCCAGACAGTGATTTCTTTATTCATTAAGAGCAGCTTTGAAGAGGAAACCAATGGAAGAAGCCATAAGAGTCAGGTGCAACATACATATGGTAGAGAGAAGGCAGATGCAGCTAAAATTAGAAGAGAATCAGGTAACTGGGGAAAAGTCTTTGCAGCAAATCTCTCTAATAAAGGTCTCAGCTGAGGATAAACTAGGTGATAGTGGATAGAGTAATAGAACTGGAGTCAGGAAGACCTGAGTTCAAATCTAGCTTCAGATACTTACTAGCTGTGTGATCCTGGGCAAGTCACTTAACCTCTGTGCCTCAGTTTCCTAAACTGTAAAATGGGGATAATAACAACACCTACCTCCCAGGGTTGTTGGAGGACCAAGTGAGATAATATTTGTAAAGTACTTAGCACATTGTTTGGCACATAGTAGATGCTATACTAAAGCTTTGCTATTCAGTCATGCCCAGCTCTTCATGATTATAGCACACTAGGCCCTTCTATCCTCCATTACGTCCCAAAGTCTGTCCAAGCTCATGTTTATCGCTTCCATGACATTATCTGTCTATCTCATCCTCTGCTGTCCCTTTCTCCTGTTGCCTTCGATCTTTCCCGTTATCACGGTCTTTTCCAATAAGTTTTGTCTTCTCATTATGTGGCCAAAGCATTTAAGCTTCAGCTTTAGTATTTGACCTTCCAGTGAACAGCCTGAATTAATTCTTTAAGTATTGACTGATTTGATCTCCTTGCTGTCTAAGGGAATCTCAAAAGTCTTCTCCAGCACCATAATTTGAAAACATTGATCCTGTGGCACTCAGCTTTCCTTATAGCCCAGCTCTCACAGCTATACATTGCTACTAGAAAAACCATAACTTTGACTATGTGGACCTTTGTCAATACATAATGTCTCTGCTTTTTAGTATGCTGTCCAGATTTGCCATAGATTTTCTTCCAAGGAGCAAGCATCTTTTAATTCCATGCAGTCGCTGTCTGCAGTGATCTTTGAGCCCAAGAGTATAAAATCTGACCCTGCTTCCATTTCTTCTCTCTCTATTGGCCAAAAAGTGATGGGACCAATTGATCTTAGTTTTTTGTTTTGTTTTGTTTTATGTTAAGCTTCAAGCCAGCTTTTACACTCTCCTCTTATTCTCATCAAGAGGCTTATTAATTTTTTTCACTTTCTGTCATCAGAGTGGTATTGTCTATATATCTGAGGT